CGACTGAAGCAGCACAGTTGTGTCAAACGTCCTTTGGAAAATAAAAGCTAGCGGCTCAGATATGTGATCGGTTAACGTAATAAGCAGTTGGGAATGTAGATTGTCTGCACCCAGAGCCGAATACCTACGTAGAACCAGAAGCTTTGATTTCACTCTGTTGGCATGAAACGTGAAGGTAGTCAGTGCTGGTTTTGGAAGAGAGAGTATCTGACGAGGTAGCCGCATTCTCGTGTTGTTGGGTGTGTCGAAAAGTTGGATATATTGGTTTTCAGCTTCACAGCTGCTTCCTGGTGTTACTGGCGACCTTCCTAAGAAAGCTGGGTAAAGGTATTCCAATCTTCACTTTCATCGACATTTTGACGTGTTTTTACAGTAGCGACGGGTCGGAAATGAACTTCCACGAGAGCGTTTCTTGGTACCTCAGCTTATCCTCCCGCACCAACTGCATACAACGATTTCGCAATTGTCGATATTTGTTCCAGGTGCTGTCAGTTGGAAATCAATTGTGTTCTCGCCAAGATCGATTTTGCAGAAACATCCATTTCTTTGTGTGGCTGCGAATCGGCTAGTTTTGGACCCCTTTGGACGGGGTCAAATTTCCAATGTGCCCAATCTAGCCAGTGACCACTGCCACAACCGGGAAGGTGTGTGTGCTTCGTACTCCTCCTCTTGGTTGGTTTAGAATCAGGGTTTTAGCCAACTGCCTAAGGTGAACTACCAGTAGTCTAGCAACTCGTTTATAGCCTCAATTGTCGGCTTTTCGTCTTCTCTTTTTGGTGGGAAACATCTTCGTCACGAGAAGGCAGTGAGTACGGCTATTTAAGGCTATTTGGTCGTATGGAAGCATTTGACGAGGTGTAAGGAAAGAGGAAGTAGCTGTCATCCAGCTCCCCTACCCCCTCCCAGCTCATACTGGGGCTTTCGGAGTCTGAAGTGAACACTAAAATGATTGGAAATGAGGAATTCAAGAGAAGAATTCGTAACAAAAACAGGGACAACGTATCATCTGCCACAGCTTAAAAACAAACTACTCGTCATTCAGATGTCCCGCTAGTGAAAAATTAAATACAACCACAAGTGTATTTTGCGAAACGAATAAAACTATTGTTACGTTACAGGATGGGTAAATCGTAAGTGCTCTCTCTCTCACATGCTTCATATCGTTTACATCTATGTCAAGGCCGAAGCAGTGCGATCAAAAACGTGGGCTTTTTGTTCCCCGAAGGAAACCACACAGTCGCATTGTCCGGCATGAAAGATCCATTCGGAACTGATCGCTCCGTTTCTCAATGATTCTGGGATGGTGCAATAGGGAATACTGCCGGAGCTGCATCAAGCAAGAGATTTTGAAAGAAACATCTATAGCATGACCGAAAGTACAAAGAAATTTGGACGATTTCTACCACTTTTCTCCACAATCTCTCTATGTTCGCCTCAATACTCCAGTTTGTATCGGCAAATCAGCCGTGTCGCAGTACCACAGTACACGTCTGTCACAAATACACGGTTCCTATATCGATCGGTAGTTGCTCAGTTGTTTGCACGCTACATAACCCGTCCAGAATCTTTTCATTTATAGCCGTGGTTGACACACTTATGGTATTTCGTAAACATTTCTAAAACGTCATATAAATGACTAGGAATATCCAAAAACAATTGTTCACTCACCACCTCGTTTGGTCAGTGCTATCATTGGAATCTTCAAGCTTTTGATATATATATATATATATAAATGAGTTCGAATTCCCTACCTACTTCCTTGAGAATAATATTTAACTCTTGTTACTGCTGTGTGAATCATCCTGTTACTTTCCCGTCCATTGTAGTTCGTCATTCTATATCGGTGTAACGTTTAAAATCCGGTTCACGATAATCCACATACTTAGTTGACCCTTCTATGTTGTTCCCAAATCATCATGATCCGCGTAAACATTCACTCTTCTTTACACGAGGTAGTAAACTCTTTAACTGCCTTTTCTCATTGAAACTTCATTTACCTATGCCACTTCATGCATCTTCCTCACATGAAAGCCCTCCTGACTGTCATGGATCGCATAATCCCCCTATTTCGTGTGTTTGCCTTGTAAACTGTTATCCCATACCTGCTTGGCCATCTAATTCGATCCCATGGTAATTGGTCATCTACGTCCCGATTTGTGATGTTTACCCTTCCACCTTGTACATTTTGACCTGTCTGACGGAGCCCATATTTGCAATAACCAGTGTCGGTCTTTCACTACAGAGTTGCCATGATTGGTTTTCGACTTCGCTTAAATACCGCCATAACTGTAATTTCATGGCATTCCATTACAAACTTTTCCTCTTGAAGCTATTCGCCCCGGCCGCATATCTGAAACCAAATGGCACCACCGGATGAGGCGTGA